CTAGTAGAAGTAGTAGTAGTAGTAGTAGTAGTAGTAGCAGTAGTAGTAGTAGTAGTACTAGTAGTAAACGTAGTACTTCCAGTAGTAGTAGTAGTAGTAGTGGTAGTAGTAGTAGTAGTCGTCGTAGTAGTCGTAGTAGTAGTAGTAGTAGTAGTAGTAGTAGTAGTTGTAGTAGCAGTAGTAGTAGTAATAGTACTCGTAGTCGTAGTCGTAGTCGTAGTCGTAGTCGTAGTCGTAGTCGTAGTCGTAGTCGTAGTAGTAGTAGCTTTAGTAGTAGTTGTCGTTTTTTTAGTGGTAGTCGTAGTAGTCGTAGTAGGAGTAATAGAAGTAGTAGTAGTAGTAGTAGTAGTAGTAGTAGTAGTAGTAGTAGTAGTCGTAGTAGTTGTCGTAGTAATTGTAGTACTAGTTGTAGTAGTAGTAGTAGTAGCAGAAGTAGAAGTAGAAGTAGAAGTATAAGTAAAAGTAAGTAGTAGTAGTAGTAGTAGTAGTAGTAGTAGTAGTAGTAGTAGTAGTAGTAGTAGTAGTAGTAGTAGTAGTAGTAGTAGTAGTAGTAGTAGTAGTAGTAGTAGTAGTAGTAGTAGTAGTAGTAGTAGTAGTAGTAGTAGTAGTAGTAGCAGTCGTAGTAGTAGTAGTAGTAGTAGTAGTAGTAGTAGCAGTAGTAGTAGTAGTAGTAGTAGTAGTAGTAGTCGTAGTAGTAGTTGTAGTCGTAGGCGTAGTCGTAGTAGTAGTAGTCGTAGTAGTAGTCGTAGTAGTAGTAGTAGTAGTAGGAGTAGTAGTAGTACTAGTACTAGTAGTAGCGGTGCTCTTATTATCATTCGTATTCGTTTTCGCATTCAAAGTTACATTTGCATGCTTTTTCGCATTCGCATTTGCATTATCATGTGTTTTCGCAGTAAGAGTTGTAGCAGTTGTAGCCATAGTCGTATTATTCACCAATTCTGATTCAGCATCAGGGGTTCTCATTTTGCATTGCACATGTCGCTAACAGAGACCTCTGTTGGCTCTGTAGGCCAGTCGCGGGCTGGTCGCTTTGCCTTTCGAAGAGTGGCGATCCTCACTCGAATGGCGCGCCTCCTGGTGGGCTGGAGGCCTCTGCCGGCTCTGTGGGCCAGTTGTGGGCCAGGCGCTTTTGGATTTAGTGGCGACCCTCACGGGCGGCGCTCCCCCCAGCGGGCTTGAGACCTACGCTGGCTCTGTCGGCTAGCTGTGGGCCAGGCCCTTTGTCCTTCAAAGAGTGGCGACCCTCACGGGAATGGCGCCCTCTCTTGGTGGACCCGAGGCCTCTGCCCGCTCTGTGGGCTGTCTGTGGGCCGGGCGCTTTGGCTTTCGAAAAGTGGAGGCCCTCACGAGGGCTGGCTCTCCTTCAAGCGGGCTTCAGGGCTCTACCGGCTGTGTGGGTTAGGCGCTGTGGCCTTCGGAAAGTGGCGACTCTCACGAGGATGGCGGTCTTCTTGGTGGGCCGGAGGCCTCTGCCGGTTCTGTGGGCCAGCTGTGGGGTGGGCGCCGAGTTTTAAAAGTGGAGGCCCTCACAAGGATGGCGCTCCCCCCAGCAGCTGGAAGCGTCTGCCCGCTCTGTGGGCCAGCTGTGGGCCGGGCGTTTTGGCTTTGGACCAGTGGCAACTATTACAGAGATGGCGCCCCTCCTGGTGGCAGGCGGCCTCTGCGGGCTCTGTGGACCAGGTGTGGGCTGGGCATTTTGGATCTCGAAGTGCGGCGACCCTCACAAGGACGGCGCTCCCCCCAGCGGGCTGCAGGGCTTTGCTGGCACAGCGGGCCAGCTGTGGGCCGTGCGCTTCTGTTTTGTTTTCGAAAAGTGGCGACGCTCACAAGGATGTCGCCCCTTCTTGTTGGGCTGGAGACTTCTGCCAGCTCAGTGGGCCAGCTGTGGGCGGGGCGATTTGGTCTTCGAGAAATGGTTGCTTTCACGAGAATGGCGCTCTTCCCAGAATGCTGGAGGTCTCTGGCTGCTGTGGACCAGGTGTGGGCTGGGCGCCCTGGTTTGCGAGAAGTGGCGACCCTCACAGGGATGGCGCCCCCCTTGGTGGGCCGAAGGCGTCTGCCAGCTCAGTGGACAGGCTGCAGGCCGGGCGTTTTGGCATTTGAAAATGAGTGCCCTCACGAGCATGGCAGCGGGCTGGAGGGCTCTGCGGGCGGCTCTATTGGTCAGCTGTGGGTCAGGTGTCGTGGCATTGGTAGAGTGGCGACCCTCGCAGGGATGGTGCCCTCTTCAAGGTGGACCTGAGGCCTCTGTTGGCTTAGTGTGCCAGCTGTGGGCTGGGCGCTTTGGCCTTCGAAGTGCGGCGACACTCATAGAGATGGCGCCCCTCAAACGTGGGCCGGAGGCCTCTGCTGGCTCTGTGGGCCAGCTATGGGCAAAGCGCTTTAGCTTTCGAGCAATATTTTTGGGGGTTAATTTGGGGGTGGTTATCCCCACCATTTGCTTTAGCAAGCGGGGTCTTACCTGGCATTCAAATAGCCGTTATCTGAGATCTCTGCTGGCTCTGTGGGCCAGCTATGGGCTGGTCGCTTTGGCTTTCGAGAAGTGGTGACCGTCACAGGGATGACGCCCGTCCAGGTGAGCAGGAAGGCTCCGTCGGCTCTGTGGGCCACTGTGGGCCAGTCGCGTTGGTCTTCGAAGAATGGTGACACTGACAGGCATGGCGCTCCTTCCAGCGGGCTGGAAGGTTTTGCTGGCTCTGTGGGCCGGGTCGCTTTGGCCTTCGAAGAGTGGCGACCCTCACAAGGATGGCGCCCCTCTTGGTTAGCCAGAGGCTTCTGCTGGCTCTGTGGACTGGCTGTGGGCCAGGCGCTTTGGATTTCGAGAATTGGTTGCACTCACGAGGATCGTGCTCCTCCCAGCGGGCTTCAGGGCTCTACCGGCTCTGTGGGCCAGCGGTGGGCCAGGCGCTTTGCTTTCGAGAAGTGGCGACTCGCAGGGATGGCGCCCCGTCTGGTGGGCCGGAGGCTTCTGCTGGCTCTGCGGGCCAGTTGTGGATGGCGCTCCTGCCAGCGGGCTGGAGGGCTCTGCTAGATGTGTGGGCCAGCTGTGGGCCAGGCGTATTGGTTTTCTAGAAGTGGCTGCCCTCACAAGGATGTCGCCCCTCCTGGTGGGCCGGAGGCCTCTGCCGGCTCTGTGTGCCAGCTGTGGATCGGGCGCCTTTGCTTTCGAAAAATGACGACCTTCACGAGGATGGCACTCCTCCTACCAGGTTGGAGTGCTCTGCCGTTTTCTTGGGCCAACTGTGGGCTGTGCGCTTCTGTTTTCGAGAAGTGGCGACGCTCACAAGGATGGCGCCCCTCCTGGTGGGCCAGAGGCCTCTGGCAGCTCTCTCGACCGGCTGTGGGCCCGGTGCCTTGGCCGTCGAAGAGTGGCGACTCCCCTAAGCACTAAGCATTGCGCACTTGCTAGCGGTCCAGAAGGCTCTGCTGGCTCTGTGGGCCAGCTATGCGCCAGCTGTGGGCCGGGTCGCTTTGGCGTTCGAAGAGGGGCGGTCTTCAAGAGGATGGTGCTCCTCCTGGTGTGCCGGAGGCCTCTGCCGCCTCCTTGTGCCAGTTGTTGGCCGGGTCGCCTTTGCCTTCGAAAAGTGGCAACCCCAACGAGGATGGATCTCGTCCTGGCGGGCGTGGGGGTTCTGCTGGCTGTGTGGACCAGCTGTGGGCCGGGGCGCTGTGGCAGCCCTCACAAGGATGACGCCCTTGGGTGGGTGGAAGGCGTCAGCAGGCTCTCTGGGCCAGCGCCGGGTTTTTTGGCTTACGAAAAGGTGCGACCCTCACGAGGGCCAGCTGTGGGCCAGGCGGTTTGGTTTTCTAGCGCGCAGTTTTGGGGTCGACGCCGAGGTAATTCGTAGCAGGATGAATGGGGGGCTTGGAGTTCGTGGAGGAAAAGGGTATAGGATTGGCGGAGGAAGAGGAGGCTTCAGTCTGGAACATGCCGTGTGGTGCTTGTCGTAACGCCCTCTCCTGCCTTTCTGTGTGTGTGGTGTGCGCATGGCACGGCAGATCCAGCATGGACCTCAGTTTTGCTCTGAGGGGCCCGCCGCGCGCGCGCGTCCGTTTGTTCGGTGCGTTCTTCGCGTCGTCGCCGCGCGCGAGTCCGCGATCGCCACAAATGTGTGTGTGTGTGTGTGTGTGTGTGTGTGTGTGTTTACGATCGCCACACCGAGCGAGTCCTTGCGGCACCGCTTGGCTTCGGTTTTCGACTTCCGCTGCGCAGTGCCAGTGGGCGCATTCTCCGTGCGTGTGCGTTGCCTCTTGCCCTGTGCCCTCTGGCTGGCGCGTTTTTTCCAGAGCTGTCCGTTGCCGCGGTCGCTCGCGGCCCCGGGCTTCGACCCGAGTATCCCCTCTTGCGCCTGCTCCCCCCTTCGGCCCTGATGACGACCCTCTTTCTCCTTGTCCTTCCTCTTTGCCTCGTTTGGGCATCACCCAAACGTATTTGTACTATGTGATTGTTTTCTTGTTCATTGTTTTGCCGATCGACGCGGGCCCTCGCACCCCCTTCCCCCCATGGAGTAGATCTTGGCTGCTTTTGCTGCCTGTTTCAATCAGGTGGGGTAAGCACGGGGGCCCCGCCTCCCCATGGGATTCCCCATGGGAACACTTTTCAAAGCGTCGTACTAAGCAGAGGTCCAGAACCCCCCCCCCTTTCCCCCTTTTCGCTCAATGTCGAAACGCCGAATCAGAGAACGTTCGCAATGTGTGTGTGTGTGTGTGTGTGTGTGTGTGTGTGTGTGTGTGTGTGTGTGTGTTGGCCCCTTCAGTTGCGGTGCGCGCGCTCAGAGATTTTACAGTGTATGCTCGGTGGCGGGCGCTTTCAGACCATACCGCGTGGGAACCACGATGCACTACCACATGCTTCTGCTACGTGCTCGGTTCGGACGTGCGCGTCCAAGGGGGGTGCGCAGTACTGGTATGTCCTTCTACGTTCCTTCGCCCTCCTTTCCTCGCTTGCTCCCTGCACCCCGTCTCCCAGTCCTGGTGTTCCACCTCGTCCTTACTCCGAGGCCGAGCCCGCTGCAAGACGGCCCTGGAGCACGACTGCACCTCGATGGTGACGCTCCAGAAGTTCTGTCCCGCGGAGCGCCTCGCCTAGCCGCAGCGTTGCACAACCTGCATCCCCTTGTCCGTCATCCTCAAGCGCCGCCTCCAGTCGTCTTATCCTTTCTCCATCCTTCCTCCCTCCTCCCCCCTCGCGCCCTCTCTCCCCCTCTCTGCTCTTGATTCGCTGACCCCTCTCTAGCCTCCAGTTCCCTCTTCCTCATCCTGTTCCTTCCGACCCCTTCTCCTGCACTTTGCCTCCGCCGCATCTTCTCAACCTCTCTGCTTGCTTGTCAGCCTGCTCGCTAATACTGGACGCGGCGTCACAGCAAGCTCTGCGCGCATGGAGCCCCTAGTTTTCAGTCAAAGTATCCCCGCCAATGTTCTGCCCTTCTGCAGTGGAGGAGTGGTGCGGAGAAATACCTGTGACTGACGAGGAGGATGCTTTGTAGAGGCCGAGCAGGAGCGATGAGGCAGGCGCGAGGAAGGAGATGGAGGAAGGAGGAGGAGGAGGAGGAGGCGGGCGGCAGGATGGAGGCTGGATGGGTGGATGGATGGATGGATGGATGTGATGATGATGCTGATGATGCTGATGCTGGTTCTGATGATGATGCTGATGCTGCTGCTGCTGATGATGTTGATGATGACGATGCTGCTGATGATGCTGATTATGTTGATGGTAATGATGATGATGCTCCTGCTGCTGATGACGATGAATATGCTGATTCTTGTGGTGATGCTGATGATTCTGATGAGGATGACGCTGCTGCTGATGATGATGATGATGATGCTGATGATGATGATGATGCTGCTGATAGTGATGATGATACTGATGCTGATGCGGATGATGTTTATGTTGATGTTGGTGCAGATGCAGATGCTGATGCTGTTTAATGATGATGATGAGGATGAGGTCGGTGGTGATGGTGATGATGATGATGAGGATGATGGTGATGAATGATAACGATTAGTAGTAAGCATAAAGATAATGATAATACCACCAATAATAATGATTGAAAGTGGAAACGCGTTCTTGTTCCAAAGGAGACGGAGGGAGGGGGACAGGAACATGATTAGGACGATAATGAAGGAGAGGATAAGGGACAGGACGATAAGGATCAGGAAGATGATGCCAATGAGGAGGAGAAGGGAGGGGATTAGGAGGTGGAGGGAAAGGAGGAGGAGGAGGTCGACAGGTCCGACAGGGGTCTCCTGGGGTCGACAGGTCCGCGGTCCATTGTGCGAGCTACCTGCGAACAAATGATGGTCCCACGCACCCGTGCGTCGGCGCGCCTGTCTCCGTGAGTAACTGCATCGTATCGGGAACAACCCGCAAGTGAACACACGAACTAGGCTAGAGGAAGGGACAAAAACATAAACGTAAGTTTTCGAAGGCTTGCGCGGATTTCTTGGATCTGCGCTGAATCCCGCTCTTTAGCGCGCGGAGCGCGCCAGGGGCGGAGATCTGCGCGGACCTCAGATAGTTTGCGTTGATGCAGGTTCTTGTTTCTCTGCAGGTGAAGAGGGAGCTCCCTGTGAGTGAGCGCCACGCGCAGCCTTCCCCTCGGCAGGGTCCATTTTGATGCGATCGATCCGATTCGGTATCGATTTCGGCCAGCCCGATCCGATTCGATTCCGATATGTCGACGATCTGATGCGGCCCGATGCTTGCATGAGCGCTGTTGTGCATCCTGGCGCGGCCGACCCGATTCGAGTGCGACTCCGTGCCGATGCAGCCCGATCCGACGCACATTTAGACTCGATCCGATTCCTCGATCCGATGCCGACTGATCCTGCCCGCGCAGCCTCTCCGTCGCAGGTGCCCATACGTCGCCCCGCACCCCGACCTGAGCTGCGTCTTCGAGTGCGCGCCTCCGGACTGGTGCCACCAGGCCGCCCGCCCCTCTCCGACCTGTCCCGTACGGGCCCAGAGTCGAGACGTGTCCGGAACGCTCTGGAACGGCCGCGGCGCCCGAGACATCCTCCAAGCCCGCCGATTCTCTGAGATTCCAGATTTTTCGATCGGTGCGGTTTTGTCTCGATTCTGCCTTCGTCTTAGACCTGTCCGGCGTTCACGGCCTGCGGCGTTCTGCCCTCCCGCTTTGGGCTCCCCCAGCGGGACATCCAGAGAATCCAGAAAATACGGGAGGTATGGGGAGGACGACACATCCAGAAAATATTGAACATCTGGGGGATCCTGGCGTTTGTGTCTACTCATTTGTGTGTGTCCCTGGCCCCCTTCACTGGGCCTCCCCAGAGGGTCCCGAGTGGATGCGGCCGGGCCGCGCCGCAGCGCCGAGGTCTCGGCGGTGCAGCTCGACGTGGAGCTCGATGCGGATCTACATCGACGTCGCCAATGCATCTCCAGTGCGTTCCAAGACCAAGAAACGGCGTGTACATAAGCTTTCGGAGCTCCGCGCGGGTCTCTTGGATCTGCGCTGGGCCCTCTCTGGCGGCGTCTCCGGCGCCGCCTCTGGCGCGCTCCGTTGTCGTCGCCGTCGTCGTCGTTGTCGTGGTTGTGGTGTTTGTTGTTATTGTTGTAATTGTTGTTGTTGCTGCTGCTGCTGTTGTTGTTGTCTGCTGCTGCTGCTGCTGCTGCTGCTGTTGTTGTTGCTGTTGTTGTTGTTGTTGTTGTTGTTGTTGTTGTTGTTGTTGTTGTCGTTGTTGTTGTTGTTGTTGTTGTTTGTTGTTGTTGTTGTTGTTGTTGCTGTTGCTGCTGCTGTTGCTGTTGCTGTTGCTGCTGCTGGTGCTGTTGCTGTTGCTGTTGCTGTTGTTGTTGTTGTTGTTGTTGTTGTTGTTGTTGTTGTTGTTGTTGTTGTTGAATTCTCATTCCTGAAGAAGAATGATTGTTGATCCCCCCTCACCGGTGCATATTGTTTTTCTCCGTCAAAGTGTGCCCTTCGACGCTCGCACCCTGTTTTTGGGCAGGGATTGTCTTCCTGGTCAAACTGTGCCCCTGCCCCCCCGGACTACAACAACCTGAGACTTCCTCCAAATTTACTCAGGACCCCCCCCTCCCGTCTGAGACTTCCTCCCAATTCACTCAGGAACGGCGCTCCCGCTTGATATTTCCTCACAATCGAATCCGGGTCAAACTGCGTTGTTGCTCCCCCAGACTACAACAACAATGGCTCCCGCCTGAGACTTCCTCAAACTTTACTCAGGACCCCCGCTCCCGCCTGAGACTCCCTCCCAGTTTACTCAGGATCGGCGCTCCCGCCTGTGACTTCCTCACACTTTAGTCAGGACCCCCCCTCCCGTCTGAGGCTTCCGCGCACTTTACTCAAGAACGGCGCTCCCGCTTAAGATTTCCTTGCGCTTTAGTCTAGACTCCCGCTCCCGCCAGACATCCCCTTTTCAGGAATTGCGTTCTCGCCCGTGTCTTTTTCGCAGTTTATTCAGAAATCGCGCTATCTACGCTCAGGCACCACGCTCGCGCCAAGGACGCCGTCACACTTTACTTAGGAATCGCGCTCTCGCCCTACTCAGGCATCCCGCTTGAATGTCCCACCCGCCCGACCCGCCCGTCAGAGGATCGCCCGCCCGTCGTGGGCTGCCGCCCGAGACTTCCTTGTGGAATGGCGCTTTGGCTTAGGACTTCTTCGAACGTTCGCACTCTTACCTTCCTGCTCCTCCTGCTCCCGGGCCGCCTCCCCCCTCCTTCCGATTCCCTCTCCCTCGCACGTCAGCTGATGTTGAAATTTCATTCCTGAAGAATGATTTCTGTTGGTCCCCCCCACTGGTGCGCATTGTTTTTTCTCAGTCAAAGTGCGCCCCTCGACGCTCGCACCTTGTTTATTTGACAGGGAAAGTCATCCGGGCGCGCCCACGGAGGCCCCGCCACGCTGCCCACAGAGGCCCCTGCCGCAGCCCCCAGAGGCCCCGAACGCGCCCACAGAGGTCTCGCCAAATTGCCCACTCAGGCCCCATAACCAGGCCACAGAGGCCCCGAACGCGCCCACGGAGGCCCCACCACACTGCCCACAGAGGCCCCACCACGCTGCCCACTGAGGCCCCAGACGCATCCCACAGAGGCCTCGACCGCGCCCACAGAGGCCCCGCCACGCTGCCCACTGAGTCCCAGACGCAGCCCACAGAGGCCCCGAACGCTCCCACAGAGGCACCACCACGCTGCCCATTTCTCCGTCAAAGTGCGCCCCTCGACGCTCGCACCCTGTTTATTTGACAGGGAAAGTCCGGGCCAAGCTGTGCCCCTGGGCCCCCCGGCTACAACAACAACGGCTCCAGCCTCAGACGCGCCCAGTGAGGCCCCGCCACGCTGCCCACAGAGGCCCCTTGCCGCAGCCCATAGAGACCCCCAACGCGCCAACGGAGGCCCCGCCAGTTGCCCACTTAGGCCCCATAACCAGGCCACAGAGGCCCCGAACGCGCCCACGGAGGCCCCGCCACGCTGCCCACTGAGGCCCTCGGCGCCGCCCAGGCCCAGAATGCGCCCACACAGTCCCCGCCACGCTGCCCACTGAGGCCCCTTGCCGCAGCCCGCAGAGGCCCCGAACGCGCCCACGGAGGCCCCACCCCGCTGCCCACTGAGGTCCCTGACGCATCCCACAGAGGCCCCGAACGCGCCCATTGAGGCCCCACCACATTGCCCACAGAGGCCCCACCACACTGCCCACTGAGGCCCCAGACGCAGCCCACAGAGGCCCCGACCGCGCCCACTGAGGCCCCACCACGCTGCCCACTGAGGCCCCACAAGCAGCCCACAGAGGCCCCGAACGCGCCCACTGAGGTCCCACCACGCTGCCCACTGAGGCCCCGAACCCAGCCCACAGAGGCCCCGAACGCGCCCATTGAGGCCCCACCACACTGCCCACAGAGGCCCCAGACGCAGCCCATAGAGGCCCCGAACCCCCACAGAGGGCCCCGCTGCAGAATGAGGCCCCAGACGCAGCCCATAGATGGGCCGAACGCGCCCACAGATGCCCAGCCACGTGCCCGCAGAGGGCCCACCACGCGGCCCACTGAGGCCCTAGACGCAGCCCACCCTGGCCCTGCCGGGGCCCGCCTTCCCGACCCGCCCGTTAGGGCCTACCTACCTACCCGCCCGATCTGCTCGTCTGGTTCTGCCACTTGTTCTGCTCCTGGCCCCCCCTCCTGCTACTTTCTCTCGTGCTCCAGCCTCCTACATCCTCCTTCTCCCTTCCTTCCATCTGTCCTCTCTTGCCCTGCCTTAGGGGCTGCACGAAGCACGTTGCAGGTGAGAAAGATATACCCGCAATTGGGTACGATCCAAGACGAAGAGGGCGAGTACCGAGTGTTTGGGATGCATTTGCTTAGTGGCACGCGAGCAGACAAAAGCGAACACTCTTAAAATGCTTGTTGTTGTGGTTGTGGTTGTGGTTGTGGTTGTGGTTGTGGTTGTGGTTGTGGTTGTGGTTGTGGTTGTGGTTGTGGTTGTGGTTGTGGTTGTGGTTGTGGTTGTGGTTGTGGTTGTGGTTGTGGTTGTGGTTGAACATTATTAATTCTAAAGAATAATTATTGTTGGGACCCCTGGTGCACGGCCCCCCTGCGCCGCCTAGGCCGCAGCTACATTTTCATCATTTTCGTGAGGAAGCCTCAGGTAATACGATGTCATCAAGATCCGGTTGTTTTGTTGTAATCCGTTTTCCCTTGCAAAAAACACTATAAAATGACATTTCTTGTTCTAATATAATCAAATTTCAAGAATCCCTTGCAAAAAATAAGGTAAAGTGGACATTCGCGCGCGCAAGACGAAATCCTTCCAAAAGCTTAGTGTTCGGAGCGATTTTAACATAAAAACATCAAAAAACCAATGGTTTTTCAACAAAAAAATGTCAAAATCTCATCCCGCGCGCTCTTGCGGATTCGTAGGAAACCCAACACTTTTTAAACATTTCTGTCAAACGGGCTTTTGCGAGCAACTTTTTCGAACTTCTGCGACAACGGTTGCGCACCTGCCAGGGCCATCATCCCTGTCAAATAATACCATGCGGGACACATTCGTTTTTTCTTCGCGCGCGCACGCCGTCGTCGTCGGCCGCGGGGCCCTGAATAGTAGCCACGGTCGTCCGCATGCCACGAAGTGAAGTGTCCGAACGTCATAGGGCGGGAAGCTGGGTGTGGGTGGTGGCGAAGAGTCGTTTGGAAATTTGGTAGAGCTTGAACCGGCCCCCCCACAAAGTGGGGGTATTGCCCGCCTCCTATGAAAACCCTGGCACTGGTGAGAACGGAGTGTCCCCAGTCTTAAATGATTGTTGTTGTTGTTGTTGTTGTTGTTGTTGTTGTTGTTGTTGTTGTTGTTGTTGTTGTTGTTGAATGCTCATTTTTGAAGACTAATTCTTGTTGACCCCCCCCACCGGTGCATACTGTTGTTTCTCAATGAAAGTGTGCCCCTCGACGCTCGCACCCTGTTCTTTGACAGGGAAAAGTCTTGATGCTCAAACTGGGCCCCTGGCCCCGGGTTACAACAACAACGGCTCCCGCCTGAGACTTCTTTACAATTTAGCCAGGACCCCCGCTCCCGCCCGAGACTTTCTCGCATTTTATTCAGGAATCGCGCTCTCGCTTGGGACTTCCTGAGAATTTATTCAGGAAGCGCTCTCCCGGCGCTGTGGAGTCGCGCTCTCGCTGGAGACTTGCTTGCAACTTACTGAAGAATGGCCTTGCGTTGGAGTTTCATGCAATTTGCCCAAGCGCCGCGCTCCCGACACCCAGGCACCCAGGAGTCGCGCCCGTTGTGGCCCCATGTCCATGCCCTTCGTGGCCCCGCTGTCGCCATTTGTGTCCCTCCCCCTCACTGTCCTACGTGGCCCAGTTGCTACCCTCAGTGGCCCCATAGTTGCCTTCTGTGGCCCCGCATTATCTGCACTTCGTGGCCCCCGCTCGTTCGCGCTCTTCGTGGCCCCATACG